CAGCTGACAAAGGGCTAATACCCACAATCTATAAAGAACTAAAACAGATTTACAAGAAAAAACCAAACAAACCCATCCAAAAGTGGGCAAAGGACATGAACAGACACTTTTCAAAAAAAGACATACATGAGGCCAACAAACATATGAAAAAATGCTCATCATCACTGGTCATTGGAGAAATGCAAATCAAAACCACATTGAGATACCATCTCACGCCATTTAGAATGGCGATCATTAAAAAATCTAAAGACAACAGATGCTGGACAGGATGTGGAGAAATAGCAACACTTTTTCACTGTTGGTAGGAGTATAAATTAGTTCAACCATTGTGGAAGACGGTGTGGCAATTCCTCAAGGACCTAGAAACAGAAATTCCATTTGACCCAGCAATCCCATTACTGTGTATATATCCAAAGGTTTATAAATCATTCTGTTATAAAGACACATGCACAGGTATGTTCATTGCGGCACTGTTTACGATAGCAAAGACCTGGAACCAACCCAATTGCCCATCGATGATAGACTGGAAAGGGAAAATGTGGCACATATACACCAGGAATACTATGCAGCCATAAAAAAAACGATGAGTTTGTGTCCTTTGTAGGGACATGGATGAACCTGGAAACCATCATTCTCAGCAAACTGACATGAGAACAGAAAATTCAACACCGCATGTTCTCACTCACAGGTGGAGGTTGAACAATGAGAACACATGGACACAAGGAGGGGTGCATCACAAACTGGGGTCTGTTGGGGGAGACTAGGGGAGGGACAGCAGGGGGTAGGATGTGGGGAGGGATAACATGGGGAGAAATGCCAGATATAGGTGATGGGGATGGAGGCAGCAAACCACACTGCCATGTATGTACCTATGTAACAAATCTGCATGTTCTTCACATGTACCCCCAGAACCTAAAGTGCAGTTTTATATATACATATAATTATATATCATATAATTATATATATACATATTATATATACATTATATATTATATATACATATAATTATATATACATATATATACATTATATATTATATATATATAAAATTATATATAATTATATATAATATAATTATATGTATATATAAACAAAACTGGATATTCATCCATAATGTAAAAAAATGAACCCTGAAGTTCACCTTAAAGCAAACACAAATTTAACACATCGTGGTTCAAACATCTAAAAGAAAAACACTACAACTACAAAACTTGTAGAATAAAATGTAATAAAATATAAGAAGATTGAGATATCTGGAAAAGGAAGTAAAGAGGTTGGCTAATTCTTTCTACAACTATAAAAAGACACAAAACAGAAACTAGGTTCTGGAAACTAACTACAGGCAAACAACATACTGGGAAATGTTTAGTCTAAAGACTACTGAACTTCAGGTAGTAGTAACTAAGAGAGTCTTTATTATTCTTGCTTATGGCTGCTACCCTGACCTATTCCCATGAAACCATATGGGTTTGAACAGTAGTGCTGCTAGGATGAGGCAGGCTATATTTAAACACACAAAGAAAAACAGAACGACAATGGGTCCGACAACAGGGAATCTTAGTGAAGATAGAGAAACTATAGCATAAAGATAATCAGAGAAAAAAATAAATAGAGCTTCAGAGAGACAAGAAAAATAAGATCAATCATTTCAACATATGTGAAATGGGAATTTTACAAGGGGAGAATCAAGGGCCTGAAAAAGTATTTGGAAGATAATGGCTGAAAACATCCCAAATCCAACTAATCTATGTGAGCTCAACAAAACCCACGTAGGACAAACAGAAAGTGATCCACTATATACATAGTCAAACTGTTAAAAGTCAGGGTAAGAAAAGTGAATGACTGAGAAAATGAATCTAGGATAAATCTTAACACCAACAAAATAAAACTTATGTAAAGGAAGACAATGATATAATTAATGGCTGATGTCCAAAAGGCAATGGAATAACATATTCCAAATAATAAAAGAAAAAACAAGCAAACAAAACTGTAAACTAGAAATTCCATTTCCAGCAAAACTATATTTTAAAACTGAAGGCAAAATAGAGACATTCACAGATAAACAGACTGAGAAAATTCATTACAAACAAATCTGTGGTGTAAGAAATACTAGAAGAAGTGCTTTAGACTGAAAGGAATCATCCTTGATTCCTGTGTTTCCCCTCCACATTCAATATATCAGCAAGCAAGGTCTACTGGCTTTATATCCAAAATATTCCTTAAATCCATCTACTTAAAAAAACTTCCACTGCCATCATCTGAGTAAGAGCCTTGAATTATCTACTGGACTTCTGCAATAGCCTAATTAGTTTTCCTGCTTCTACTCATATCCCCCTACAATTCACTGTTCCAACTACAGCCAGGGTATTAAAAAAAATTGGATTGCACTATTCTCTGCATAAAATCCTCTAATCAGCTTCCAGTGCACATAGGATATTACTTGCCATGACTAAATATGCAATACACAAACAACTCCCTGGTTGAACTTTTCTATCGCTCTCTACTTCCTTCCGTAAGTTCCAGCACACTGGGATCCTGTATTCTTCAAATATCCCAAACTCATTCCTCCTTCAAAATTTTTGTACCTACTGTTCCTCTTCTACCTTGTGTGTATCACCAGCAGATCATGACTCAAGGGTGGCTTCTTATTACTCAGGTCGCCACTCAAATGTCATCTCCTCAAAGAAGCTTTCCCTGGCCACCCTATCTAAGGTTACCCTATCCACCACTGCCTGCCTGCCTTTGCCTTTTAAAAATTGTGTTGTATCTTTATCGTTATCTAAATTATAATGCTTACTTATTTGCTCACTTTTTTAATGTCTACCTCACCCAATAAAACAAAAGGATCATGAGAGGAGAGGTCTTAGTATCTTGTTCATCACTGTATGTCTAGGACCTAACAGTATTTTTAAATTACTGAGTAAAAATTTACATATATTCTTTTTTTTTTTTTTTTTTTTTGAGACGGAGTTTCGCTCTTGTTACCCAGGCTGGAGTACAATGTCACGATCTCAGCTCACTGCAACCTCCACCTCCCGGGTTCAGGCAATTCTCCTGCCTCAGCCTCCTGAGTTGCTGGGATTACAGGCATGTACCACCATGCCCAGCTAATTTTTTGTATTTTTAGTAGAGACGGGGTTTCACCATGTTGACCAGGATGGTCTCGATCTCTTGACCTCGTGATCCACCCGCCTCGGCCTCCCACAGTGCTGGGATTACAGGCTTGAGCCACCGCGCCCGGCCCAAAATTTACATATATTCTAAAACTTACACTAAAATATAAACACTTCTGAACTCTTAAAAGACTTTAAAAAGACTTTTGTTCTTACTTAGCATTTTATAAATGTCATATTTTATAATATATACCAATTTTCTTCTGCCTCTTTTCAATGAAGAGACAAAATGAGTAATACTCCAAAGTTATCTCAAGTATTGCAAAGAAAGTAGGTAGCCTTAGATAGACAAGAACTGTGTCTGTCTTGCTTACCACTGTACTCTGGTACCAAGAACAGGGTCTAGTATATGGTAATCATGAAATAATTACAGAATGACACGTAAACAATGAGACTCTTAAGAGCTGGGAGACAGGAAATGCTCTGGAGGTTGGTGGGAATGTGTTACTCCCTCCATCTCCAATCACCACTTTCCCAGGTCTTAAGAGTACTCTTGAATATACCTCTTAATAACAGACTAGATTTCTTAAGGGCAGAGAATATGTCATTTCTGTTTGGTATCCCTTATGAGTAAAACTGTTCAATAATTTTGTTTAATAATTTTTTGAATGAAATGCAAGAGCACTGGTGTCTTCATTTGTAAAAGGGAGGTGACAAGATTACTTACTTCAAAGGTTTATTATGACAAAAAATAAAAAACCCAAAAAACTACACACACACACACACACACACACACACACACACACAAAACAAAAAGGAACAGTAAGTGAAAAGGAAAAGAAAAACACCTCCACAAAGTCCTCCTTTAGCTATTAGTTTAGAAAAGTAAAAGAAAACTATTAAGTTATATCTTCTCCTATAAACTGTGCCTATTTATTCACCTACCTAGCAGATAATAACCTAATAATAACATAAGCTAATAAGATATCACACTATTTCAGCACCAGACACTGAAACAGACCACCACCACCACCACCACCACCACCACCACCACCACCACCACCAATCTCAGGTTAGCTTATAAGCAAGACTCAAACTTGGATAGGAGAACTTTTGCAGTCACAAGCAGGAAAAGAGAACTAACAACACTGACAATTTGGGGAATCTAACAGTACAGAGCCTTTGTATGTTCTAAACTCTAGAGGGTAGCCTTTCGGCAGAAATGTTATGAAAGAAATCAGCAGTATTCCAGATGTCCCAGTAGCTGCATGCTCCTTCCCTCACACTTTTAAGAGAAGACCTAAGAAACTACAACTATATTAACACAATCTAAATTTAAACTATTATTGTGGCTTTAAATCTTAAAAGCTGGCAACCCAACAAAAACTAATCCACTAAGCATCTGAAAAGATTTTTTTTAAAACAAATTTTTACAGTTTATTAAGTAGAATCTAAACTTAAACTATTATTATTGCTTAATTCCCACAGGCTAGCAACCAAAAGATGAAAGATATGCTATCTCAACAAAACTAATCCATTAAACATCTTTAAAAACTTTTCTCTAAACAAATTCTTACAAAGTTATTAGAATCGAAAAATAAATATCCAGTTTAATTAAATGTTTGTTTAAGCAATCTTTCAGTAAAAACCAGTAGGATTCAAAAACATGTAAATACCTAAGACTGTGATTTTATTATTGATGAGATATAGGAAAGTAACTAGATAGCTTATAAACAATTCACCTGAGGGGGCTGTAATTAAAATGTCAAATTTTATTCATTGGAGTTGGATTATATTTAAAATCAACATTTCCTTAAAAATTTTATATTTTATATTGTGGTAAAAACCTTATTGCAAAAAAACTTTAAGATTAGTTATTTCACTTACCAAAATGCAGTCCACTTTAGATTGTACAGTTTTGCTAAAAGAAAGAGAAACTTAGGTTAGTAAATGAAAATTTTATGAAATATCTGCAAAATTCTCAGTAAGATGTGGTAATTTAGTCTTCCTTACTATGAAAAAAATAAATACAGCATCCTACTAAGATTAAGGATTGTAGCCTAAAACTGTGTTTTTCACAAAGCAAAACAAAAATCTATTTCCCATTCATTGTACTAAATTTAATCTTAAAGCATGGTCAAAATATTTCCTAAGTTTATTTTGAGTAAACAATTTTTAACAGTATATAAATGCACATTTATTACTATACTTAAAAGTATGGCACAGAGCTTGCAGTAATTATGATTTTTACTGTTTGCCTGCCCCTCTGGACAATAATTTGCTTAGCACTTAAAAGTCATAATGATATACTACGATCTGTACCTTGTAAGACTTGATATATAAAAGATTCTGTTCCCCCAACCCGTCTCTACGCACAGACACACACACCAATAACAAGAATCCCTAGACATAAAAGCAATAAAAAAGATTAATATAATAATAAATTGGCCAGGCGAGGTGGCTCATGCCCATAACCCCAACACTTTGGGAGGCTGAGGCGGGCAGATCATGAGGTCAGGAGATCGAGACCATCCTGGCCAACATGGTGAAACCCTGTCTCTATTAAAAATACAAAAATTAGCTGGGCGTGGTGGCTCGTGCCTGTAATCCCAGCTACTCAGGAAGCTGAGGCAGGAGAATCACTTGAACCAGGGAGTCGGAGGTTGCAATGAGCTGAGAATGCACCACTGCACTCCAGCCTGGATGACAGAGCGAGATTCCATCAAAAAATAAAAAAGGAAATAAACAATACAATAAAGCCATTATATATCAATTTAACAGAACTACTGAATGTAAGTGAAATGTTAATAAATAACACAAATGAAGCCAGTATAAAAAACAACTATTGCAAACTTTGGATTTTGTTGTAACATAAAGGAAAGTGAAAATGCAAAGAAATTGTGCAAGATGTTCAGGAACAGTTTACATACAATCTTTAAAACATGTTAAAACCAAATTGTCTTCTGCAAGAGTTTCTAAAGCCAAATAAATGTAACCAAAACTGGTTATTTGCCTTTTTATGTAGCCATACAGCTAAGCTATGATGTAAAAAAAAATTAGTATTGAAATTTCACTTAACACAATCATTAATAACATTTTATACCTGTACATTTTCTAAACAATAAAATATGACTGGATTCAGTTTAATTGCAAAGTTTAGAATGACTAAAAAGAGCAAAAAAGTAAAGGATAACTGTAGGTTAAGAGGGAATGAAATCCCCTTCCCAAAATCCAACAAAATATTTTTAGAGGTTTTTTTGTTTGTTTTTGAGACAGGATCTTGCTCTATTGCCAGGCTGGAGTGCAGTGACGTGATCTTGGTTCACTGCAAGATTTTGCAAAGATCTTGTCTTCTTTTTGCAGATGATATTAATCCTTAGTCTTTACCATGGCCATAAAAGCCCTGTATGACCCAATCCTCTGTTATCTTTCTGGACTAATCTCATAGTAGTCTATTCTTCATTCATTCTGCTCTAGCCAGGTGGTCTCCGTGATAGCAGTATGGCAAGAGCGGGCCCTGCACCGGCTTGATCTGTCATCCTCTAGGACTTTTCTCCTATACAACTTACCCCTTTACTTTCTCTGTTATCTTGCTGCATGTTATCTTTAACACAGTTCCTCCCTGACTTGCCCATATAAAATACTCCCAATCACTCTCTGTAGCTCTCATCATGCTTGATTTTTCATCATTGCACTTATCATCTGCCATGTTACAATTTTATTAATTTGTTTACCAGCTATCTTCCTTGACTAGAACTTAAACTTCATGAGAGCAGGCTTTGTCTGTATTGCTCACTGCTGTGTTATCATCTGGTACATCTATGGAGTTCAATAAAATCTGTTGAATGAATAAGTGACAAAAAAAATTCAGTACCCTAGAGTAAGAAAAGCCCTTGGAAAGACTGGGACCACTTAAGAATGAGTTTTTATATAAGTTAGCATGAAAATGAAATCTTTATTTTATAACATATAGATCTCAACATATTTTCATTCTACCAGTAACTGACTATTCTATGGGATTATCTAAGGAGGATAGTTATATCTACCATCCTCTAAAATATACATGTAATGATAAAGCTCTAAAAGATACATGTAATGTATAATGGTAAAGCTCTAAAAGATACATGTAAATGATAGCCTTTTAAAGCAGGGGTCCCCAACTCTCATCCCTGTTAGGAACCGGGCTACAAAGCAGGAGGTGAGCAGCCAAGCAGCCTGAGCTCTGCCTCCTATCAGATCAGTGGCAACATCAGATTCTCATAGGAACCTGTGAACCCTCTTGTGAACTGTGCATATGAGGGATCTAGGTTGCATGGTACTTATGAGAATCTAATGCCTGATGATCTGTCACTGTCTCCCATCACCCCTAGATGGGATAACCATCTAGCTGCAGAAAAACAAGTGGACTCCCACTGATTCTACAGTATGGTGAGTTGTATAATTATTTCATTATATATTACAACGTAATAATAACATAAGTAAACTGTACTATAAATGTTATGAGCTCGAATCATCCCCCAAACCATCTCCCCCAGCCCTCCATCTGTGGAAAAACTGTCTTCCATGAATTTGGTCCCTGGTGCCAAAATGGTTGGGGACCACTGTTTTAAAAGACAGAATTAGAAAGAAAAATGAAAGTCCTTCTGGTAGATGAGGACCCTGGAATCACTTAATTTAGTCCCTCGATTATTTTTACTTTATAGTTAAACATAATAGAACAATATAGAAGTTTAAGTCCCCCTTTTTCTCTCGCTAACCTTATACCCCTCCCTACCTTCTCAAAGGAAACTACCATTAATCCAGTGTGTAAACTTTCCGGTTGTTACTTCAAGTTGTTCCTTGTATTAGATACGCAAAAATCTATAGGCAAGATACACTGTTCTGTGAAGCTTTTAAATGTTTATGTAAATTCCATTACTTTGTACATATTCTACAATTGTTTTTTTACTCAACATTGTTTTTGAGTTCCATCCATGTTCATATACTTAGATGAAGTTCATTTACTAAAAAATATCTCACTGAATGAATAATCAAATTTATTCATCAATTCCTCTACTGAAAGGTAATTATGTAGCTTCCAGTTTTTCTACAAACAATACTGCAATAAGTGTCTCTGTACATGTCTCTTGGTATACACCTGTAAGAATTTCTAAGCTATAAATCTAGAAGTCAATTTTCTAGGGCTTATAAATGGTTTTGTTTAAATTTTATTTTATATTAACAAATTTCTCTCTCAAACACTTCTATCCAGTTATACTTCCATTAGCAGTATATGATAATTCCTATTTTCCTATTACCTTGCATATATATACATGCCATTTATACATGCTATATGAAATACATATACTAAAAAGTTACTATTCCAATGGACATAAAATGGTATTTTTTTTAAATTGTCTTTTCCCCAATTACTAGCAATGTTGTGTGCCTTTTCACCTGCCTATTCAACATATGGATTTTCTCCCCCATGAATTGTTGGTTCCTAACCTTTGCATATTTTTAAGTGGAGCTATTTTTTTATTGCATTATAGTAGCTTTATATACTCTAGATATGAATTCTATTATATATATTTAACTTTGTTAATAACTTTTCTCTAATAAAAGTTAACATTTTTGATCTAGTCAAACAGTTCTTTTCTTTATGAGTTATTTGTATGTCTTCTTTAAGAAAGCCTATCTAGCTAAGGTTAAAGGCAGTCTATATTTTATTCTAGAAGTTTTGAAGGTAGCTTTTCTCATTTTGATCTTTAATTGGAGTTCATTCTTGTGTATGGTATAGTGTAATATACACTATATAATTTTTCCATCTGGGAATCCAATTGTTCTCTATTTTATTATACCAAATTTCTATATGTGCCTGAATCTGTTTCTGGCCCTTCTTTTCTGTTTTATTATTAATCTACTTGTCTATCCATAAGCCAACATCACATTTTGAATTTATTACTGCTATAAAAATTAAGTCTAGTTAATTGATTGCATGACCGCCCTCTTGTTCATTTCCAAAACAGTCTTGACAATTCTTGGACCTTTGTTTTTCCAGGTTAATTTTTCAGTTTTTCTAATTTCATAAAGTCCTCCTTAAACTTTATGGAGGACTTTATTTTTGTACTGTATTGATGTTACAGATTAAATGAGGGAGATGACTGATAATTTGGATTTATTTTTTAACTGTCCTTGAAATGTCATTTCCCTTCTGAATATTTTGTTAGAAAAAGCACAAGG